TTTTCTTATATTTTATTATAGTTATTTTTAGTTAGTTATAGGACAACACATTCAAGGAGGCTTCTAAACGTCCAAATGCTATAATTAGTCTTGTAGATCATTACATGAGCTACACAATGATATGTGTTTTATTTTTAGTTAATATGTAAGTTATTGAGTAATGCAGCGCCAAGTTTTGTTAAAAATAACTTAGCTTGGCATTCTACTTGGCATTGCTCGGCAGGCTTTATTGGTGTTGTAGGTAATTTTACTTGAAATTTCCAAGTTTCCAAGGCCTTACATGCGTTTTGGATAGTCCAAAACATTGTTGCAACACATAGTAGTTCTAAAATCAATGAAATATTGGACTAAAAAGCTATAAAAAGGATAGCTTTTTGCTCTTCTAAAAAGCAGTTCTCTTGCTACTTTAATTTCCTTTAATAAAATCATATCTATTTATTCTTATCTTAATATTATTATTAAAATTTTTTTTTTTTTTTTCTTATTTATTTTATATTTTTATCTTTTCTTTTAATAAATTCTTTCTCTTTTTTGGAATAATATAAAGTAAAAGCTAGTTTCAGAAATAGTATTTTGGCAAAATACTAGCTTATATTATTTGGAATTTAAAGGCCATACATAGCCGTGGATGGTCTGATTGTTAGTACTTCTTCTTTTGGTTATATTTTAGGATATTTCTAAGTTTTAGTGACTAGCATATCCTTGTAAAGGGCAAGTAATTACTACGCCTAACCTGTACAAACTGACCAATAGGTTTAATCCCTCAAACCTCATTGCCTATTGATAACTTCTTATAGTACTTTAAAGGCTATTGAATTTAAATTCCATTATACAAATTGTTTCTTTTTATTATTATTCTCTTTAAATAAAAGATAGTCCACTCAACACTTGTGACTTTAAAGTTTGCTAAAGCTTAATAGTTTTTAGTAAATTTTACCACAATATGTTATATTCAATTATAAAAATTAAATTAATAGCAAAATATAGTTTTTTTATTTAATTTAAAGCATGTATACAGTATGTTTGAATTTCTTTATTACACTGTACTTGTATTTTTAAAAAAAAATTTTTTTTCACTAAATTGGTTTTCAGACCGTCTAAAATTTGTTAAAGTTTTTAAAGCCAGGAGTTGGAATAGTTTTCTACTTCCAAATTATCATAATATTCATCAAAATTTTCGTTTCCAAAATCTGAAATTAGATCATTTTCAAGAGATTGACCAAAGTCTTCATCATTATTATAATTTTTAATCAATTTATTTGATTCTTCAAAGTTTCTATCCGATTCACTAGACCCTTCAAAGTTTCTATTCAATTCACTAGACCCTTCACAGTTTCTATTTGATTTATTAGACTCTTCATAACTCTCATCATTTTTTTCTTACCAAAAATACAAGATATAAAACTGTTTGCTATTGATAAATTATAATTAAAAATTTGTCTGTTTTCAGAACCATCACAATTGTTTGAAATCCCACAACACTTAAATGCACGTTGAATAAGTATTGAATCAATATTGTCTCAGGCTTTTTAAACTCACTGTACAATAATATTGTAAGCAGGCTTCTGAATTTATTCTGAGGGTATTAGCTTCTTGACTTCTTCATTCATCCATTTATTATAATAACTACGAACTTGTATATATATTAAACAATCAATGCTCAAGTTGTAAGATAAAAAAAATTCATATGATTGATAATCATTTTTTTGATGCAACATCCACACTTTTAATAAATAAATATCTGATGCATTGGTAAATAAAGATATGATCACAATGTCATAATTGGTTATAATTAAATGAATTACGGCATAATTCATTTTAATTACAACCAATTACAGCATTGCGATTACATCACTATTAGTGAACTTACCTTGTCCTTAAAGGGTTTATTTATAGCAACGTCTAATAGTTGCAATCGGAAAGTTAATCCATCAGAAATTATTACCAAGTCAGTATTTTTTTCTTTAAATTATTGTTTAACTAAATTCTCAAGATAACTACAGAATAAATCAAACACTAACAAAGAATATGAATTAACAGAGTGAGGTGCATGATGTTTCCATACATTCTCAATTCAAAATAACATTTTATTGGTGTTCATCTAACCTTTTTAATTAGATCTAATTTTTACTCTCTTGGAAATTCAAGCCGTAGCACATTTTTAAGTTTAAAAATAATTAGCAGAGGCAATTTAGAACTGTCTAATATACAACCAAAAACAACTGTAAAATTTGATTTTTCATATCCACAAGTTCTGATACTAATACTGTGGGCCCCAGTTTCATCAATTGTAAAGTTGTTTAGCAAGTTAAATAAAAATAGTATTTTATCTATATTGCCAATTAAATTTAAAGAGTATTCATGTTTCATTCGTTAAAAAAGAACAAAACTTAAAAATTTCTGTTGTTTTTCATTATAGTCTTTAGATAAATATTGTGAGACAGTTGTGTGGCATCTTATAGCAGTTTATAAACCCATCTAACCATTTATAGCTCCATTGAAATGTTGAAATATCAGGATATAGTAAGAGAAACCTCTGTGTTTGTACTAAGTTTTTTGCTTTAACTTGGACCAAATTGCATATAACTACTTTAAGTTTAGCTTGCAATGCACATATTCAACTACTCAATTCAACTTCTAGTTCAGAATACTTCGAGCGAGAGCTAGTATTTAGCCGATAGATATGTGAACATGCAAGCATCAACACTTTTTTTTTTGAACTTCAATCACGAAACTGCTTTGGTTCAATTCCAAATATAAGTGAAGTTTTATAAATACTTGTCTGTGTTCTTTTTTGAAAGGTTATTGCTACAAGTTTCTCATGTACATTCCAGGTATGTCACTTTTTTTGTATAATTGTCGAATATGCAATACCAGATTTAACTCTTGCCATGTTTTAATACTGTTTTTAATATATAAAAAAAATTGCAACTTTTTTTTAAAAAAAAAAATTATGTTTAAGTATTTTTGTATTTATTTAAATAATTGGTCAACTTTATTGTGTTTAAAGTATTTCCTTTACATAAACCTCCCGTATAAAATACCCTCCACCTGACAAAGTACCCACCGGGTACTAATTAAGATTTTGTCTCTAGAAATGTAAAAGACTCGGGGGTACTATTTGCTACAAATTACAGTAGTAAATTGCAATACACAAATTTATATGATTTACTAAATATATATTATTAGTCACTCTTTCCGACAATCATTAAACCCAAATTTTTCTACTAATAGAAAAATAAAATTTTTGTTGAAGAGTCATGGCCTATGTTACGGTTTGTCTAGAGGTCAATATTTTGCTATACGAGACTTCTTTAAAGAGATATTTGGCATGCAAGCCAAGAGTGTTATTATTCGAGTTAACTGGCAAGAGGCGCTCTTGTAGAAAAAATCTTGGTAAAGTGTAAGCAAAGAGCTCACTTTAATTGACGAAGTTTCTAGATTATTACTTCAAAGAAAAATATAGAGGAAACAACAAAACTTTTTCTTTTCTAAAGCTGCACTCTTTTTTTTGGTAGCTTTTCTCTTTTTTTTCTCGGCCTCCTATCAGTCTTTTAAAATTTTCTACAAAAAGTAAGGATTTGGCTTACCCTTTTCAAAAGATTGGCATTGTTTATTTTCCAAATTCAAACAGACTCAGTAGAATGCAACCACATAATGTGTTTGTTTATAAATATGGTGCTACTTCGGGGAAGTCAAATCGAAATCTCTGATTAAAGAAATATCTGAAAGCAGTCATAAGTCAGAAAAACTTTGTACATTAAGGCGAAGCTTTATATTAGAGATATACAATCGTTGTATTTGTTATATAATTTTTTAGCTTTGTACAGATTATAATAGTGCATTTTTATTACGTAGAGATGAAATTCCTCTTTACACTTTATCCTGGTTCTATAAAATTTTTTTATTTTTTCCTATTTTTTTTTTTTTTAGGTTTTTTTATTTTTTATTTTGCTCTTTTTTCTTTTCTATCTTTTGCTCATTTTTTCTTTTTAGTCATAGTTCGTTTTCATTTTTTATAGAATTTTTTTTTTAGATAATTCCAGTCATCCATGATCTAGTAGGACAGAGTTGCTCTTAGACCTGAGTTAGATTTCGCACCACAATATAGAACTGAGTAGAGTTAGACTTTTTATCTAAAATTTATGTATTTATGTTATTATAAATATTAATAAATAAGATTAGTCATGGTGAGACCGTCAACATTTAAAAAAAAAAAAAAAAAAAAAAATGATTTACTATATAAAATTGCTAAGCCACTTTATAACAAAAATAAAATCATTTTTTTACTAAATAAATATATTTTCAAGTTTTAAGCAAACTTGTAGAGCATCATTTTTTAATTCTAATGATAGTAAAATCATTAAAATCCAATTATTAGATGCCAAAATATTGTTAAAAAACAATTTGCTAACTAATATAAACAGACTGTTGTTTATGTGAAATAGCATTTTTGGTTATAGTTATATAGGTATATATAATTGTTTCATTTAGAAATAGATTATTAATTAAATAATTTAAAAAAAGAAAAAAAAAAATTTATATTATTTTAATCTATAGAATCACTTCACCTATTCACTTACCTATTAAAGACTTTGTTTTAGTTTATAAAACCATATTACCTCAACTAAAAGCTTGTTATTCATCTAATGGTTTTCTGTTTTCAATATAAAATACAAAAAAACAATTGTAATTCTTGTTATAATAAAGCAATATATTACAATTTAAACACCAGATTTGATTTTAACATAATGTTTTGTGATTTATATTCAATTCTTTGATATTTGCTAGCTATATATACTACTAGCATGCACTATAATATTTTTTCTATACTGCAAGATAATTACCAGGTGCTAAATAGTTAGAGCAGTGTTATTTATTATCTAATTTTTTTTATAAGAGGCTTATCCCTCCTAGTTTTTAATATATAAATTATCAGGTCTTATATATAAAATTTCAATTTTTTTAACTCTACTCCTTTTTAGAAAATCACCTGATAATTGTTAGCTTCTTTATCTGAAAGCTTAAAATTTTTTGTAATTTTTTGTTTTTTTTCCTCATAATTGAACTTTGCTACTATTATTCATAAAGTTAATAAAATTTTATACAAGTTTAATTTGAAAATTTTTATATTCTTGTATAGATTTTAAAATTTTAGTAATAAGTTATATGCTAATAATTTCAGTATCCAATAATTAAAAAAAAAATAATATTCAATTTTATCATACTTTTTGTTAAATATTATAATAGGATTATAATTAATTAGCAATATCTATACTATTCATATTATAGTTGTAATTATCAACTACTTTAGAAATTTTTAATCTTTTTTAGACTCAAACCCAAAAACTATTTGTATCTTTGTTATATTTATACTTGTTTTTCTTAGCCTTTTTTTTTTTGTTCTATTTTCTAGTTTTTACTTACAAAATAGTGAATCGTTAGAAGCATTATAAATAGCTCATTATCTTGTTATAAAATTGTCAACACACTATCTACTATAACATTTGAACAAACATTCCAATCCAATTTGGCATTTTTATCTATTTTTAGTTTTTTTAAAAACTTAGCTATTGTTTTACAGATAGTTTCACAAGTACCAACTTCTATTTGTTAAAGATACTAAAAAAGAGAAATACTACTAAAGTAATTATTCATAAAAATATTGTAAAAAACTATTAATATAGAAGCTGTTTAACAAGATAACAAACTAAAAAACTAACTTGATTAAAATTATTTTTTTTTTATATTATTTGAAAAAATATAGAATATTAGTAAAAAAGTGTAGATATACCTAGCTTTGCAAAGTAAAAAGACTTTAAAGCTTTTTGAAATGTACTTATTCTTCATCTGAACTGTATAAATGCTTTGTCTAGAGAATCTTGTTATTATTTTGCTTATCAGCTAGCATTGTCTTGTATACTAAACAAATCACTTTTTGTTACTTTAATGAAATTTTTTAAACAAATTCTTCAACTTTGTTAGCTCGAATTGCAAGATCAAGAGCTTTTTTAGTATAATCTATTCCGAATCCATACTTTTGTTTAGGTCTTTGTAGTTGTTTGACATTATGTATTTGTTTAAATCCTACCAAATGTTGAAATACTGTATTAAAGGTTGGTATAAAGATAGTTCTGGTTCTTTTCTAGTGAACTGGTAAGTCAGTATATTTTCTTGACTTGTGTTATATTTGTTGTTATTGTACTAGTGCCGAGGAATTAATAAAATATAAAAATACATATTAGCTAAGTAAAGACATAACATGAAAAAAATATCAGCACATTATTCCTTTATTGATTAGCAAAAGGCAAGTACATAAATGTGAGCTATCACTAAGAAGAATTATATGTTGCGGTTCTGAGTTTTGTATGCTATATCTAATTACTTTTTAACAGAATCATGAGGTACTGTTTCTAGCAATGACAAGAATAGCGATTGTAGTAGATCATAATTATCTTCTCTGGCTATACTTTGTTGATAAGAATTGTTTGTTATCTATATCAAAGAGAAGTTTATTAATAATATGTTAGTTACTATTTTTGTTATGCTATAATTTTTCATAACTTAATAAACCTTACTTTCAGAAGAGATTGCCAATTATTGTGTAAAAACACATCATAGCATAGTGATTGCACTATTTGATTATGCTGTTTTTGAAGAATTTGTGGTGTTAAATACTCTTGTAAGGTTTTATCTAGTCCAGAAAAGTATTCATTATTTATATTTAGTATTTCTTTTGTTGAAATTTTATTTTTATATTCACTTAAAATTGCCTT